CTATGAGTCAGTTATTAGTGAGTGATAATTTGACACGTAGCGCTACGAGGGTGCTACGTGAGCTCTACGAACTGCTACGACGGGTCTACTCACATCGTTGTCACTTAGAATAATCATCATTTAATATATTTATTTAGATTTATAAGAAATAATTACAAGTGTATATAAAACCATAAAGGATTGAAAAAATTCATTTCGCGGGTAGGAGATAATAAAACATGTAGATATAAGTTTCATTAAAAATAAATACAATCAAAATAATTATGAAACATACATGGAAAATTAATTTTAATATATATGTATTTAGGATAATATATGTTTTATTACAATAAAATTGTTGTTTATCTGTCATCCAATTTCATAACATATTCCGTCTTAAAGTGACTGTAAATTAAATTATTAGCTTATTATTAAGTATGGATAAATATTTGAATTGTCAATACATATTATATATATTATTACAGCCAATAGTAGGAGTACGGTCTGATCATCGAGATTACGAACTTCATCAAGCTCAGAAACAATCGGCTATTTATAGAAGTAAATACACACAACGGATATTCGTGACCAACAAACTTACTTACGATTGGGATTCTAGTTATATATATAAAATATATTACAATATACTATATAATAATATTGTTAGATTTGATTGAAGAAGTTTATCATATTGATCTGTCTTAGTAAAAAATACTTTGTTTTATCAAAGAGGTGATTTATGTAGGGTGGTAACCGGAGGTTCCAGGAAAACTACGAAACTTACTTATATGTATATTATAATAAAAACTACATATTGAAACTTATAATCTACACCTACATGATTGCCCCGATGTTAGGATAGTAATACCATTCCATAGCTTGTGTGGTATCAGGAGTCTTCTGGTTCACACGGCTTGGTGTTCGTTCCGCGGAGTCAGCGGCGTCACTCGTTATATATTTTATCCATACAACGATTGTACCCCGGCGATGTTCATTTATTTTTAATACATACGCGTACATAACAATTGCGTTAATTAAAGTATGACAGAAATGGCATCCATTAAATATGGTTAAAATAAAAGGTTCTTTTAATGATTTTCTTGACTTTATTTTAAAGTATAAGTTTCTAAATACTATTATATAAATGCAGTGTCACGGAATATATCTTAAAAGTATTTCCAAACGTGTAATGTCACTGTAAGTAGATTGTTCGTTCTCACCGGGCTGTGGAGTCGATTCACTGAGACTTTGAAGCTCTTCCTCCATTACATCTTTTTATTTCTAACAAATTGTGTTACATTTCGTTCTTTGTTTATTTTTGACATTATTTTTATCTTTATTAAATTGACATTTTAAAAATCAACGTGCAATTTTATTACAATACAAATTCGCAGTACAATTGTTAAATCCAAATAGTTTTGTTATTAAATTTTTGTTGCTTTATTTATAACTGTATATAAAATTTTACGTGAAATCTCCACAAAAGTTTCTGTGTAAACGATTTTGTCACAAAAAAATACACATACAATAAAAAATATTAAACATGAATACACAATAATCATATAAATACAAATATAGCTCGTGAATCTTTAAAATAATTAATTATTTTATTTCCTTATGAAACTCAAATGTTAAACTTCTATAGAGCTGTTAACATCTAAAGTATAAGATGACGTACTGACAGCAAGATGAATATTTTAATCATATTCACTTTTCAATTCCATGCAAATTGAAAACTGTGACTGCTAGAAAAGAAATTCACTTTAAAATTATTTGAATCACACTCTCTTCAAAATTATATTATATACTACGGTCTTTTAAACCAAAATGACTAGAAAGTTATATATTATGCATCTGTGTAATGAAAATGTTTTATTATGATATAAACTGAATTACGATTTCAACCTTAACTTTTTTTACAATGAAGATGAACAAAGTAATTTTGGAAGAAAATTTAATTTAAGGATTAGGAACCTTTTAAGAAATAGGAAACTTTTTTTAACTCGTCTTACAAGGGATTTATCCTAGAGGGAATCACACTCCAGATGAGTTATATATCTTCCTCAAATAGAAAAATGAAAGAATTTAAATTTTTGGATAAGCGATGAGATCTAAGACTTTCGTCAGTATTCATTTAAATGAAACTAATATTATTTGGATTATACTACTTGTATTTATTATTGTAAAAACTACATACTCCCGACGTGTCGCTACTTTTAATCAACCGTGATCATTGTTGCTTAATCCGAATAATATTAGTTTTATTTTGGATAAGTGAACTGAAATTAAATAGAATTATTTCACATAGCAGTGATGTCTTATATACATATTTATATACTTATATATACAGTCGATATATTAATGGAGTTTAATCAATATATTAATGACCCACATATATGTGATTTAAATTTAATACATAAGTATTGATAGGGTTGTAAAGTTCTTTAAGGGGAAATCTCCATGATCTCCATGATTTTGATCAGTCGTAAGAAGCATTAAATCGATGGCCGGGAAATTGGAGCGCGTGTCGCGAATACACTCTTCTTAAATTCGTTTTGAATCGTTCTATATAAAATTTGTTACAGCCCACTGGCTCGGATGATAGTGCGTGTCTTTAGAACACTTTGGATACATTTGGAACGCGTTGGATACATTTGGCTAACTTTGGATACGTCCGGAAAGAGGGGTTTACATTAAGGCTCAAGATAAGTACTTACTCAATTGTTGGTAAAATCCACGAAAATTATTATCATGTTAAAGATATTTGTCATCAGTGTACCAGAGCTCACTCCTGAGCAGAGGCCACTTTCTCACATGGAGAAGGTTTGAGCATTGATCACCACGCTTGCTTAACGGGTTGGTGATTTCAAACTTATAATTATGAACTTATAAGTCCAGGTTTCCTCACGATGTTTTCCTTCACAGTATGTCAGTGACGTCTAAATACTCTTAGGAAGTACATATGTCTCGTAAAAATCACATTGGTACTTGCCAGGATCGAACCAACGAAGTCGTGCACGAGAGTCGGACCCTTTTAACCACTAGGCCACCACTGACTGTATATAGAATTTGTCTTTTTATATGATTAAGCGAGATTAATATAACTGAAGTTTAAAAAACCTGATCGTATGCTAAGAATAAACTGGCAAAGTATGAGTAGATTCGTACAAAAAGGTTCAGTACCATTATTTGTAAAATACAACAGACAAGCCTGTGTTGTATCGGAGCCATTTTATAATAATTAGTTTTATTTTTTAGCTGCAACAGAATGTACCTTCTATCAAAATAACAACCTTCTATCAAAGTTCATGAGATAGGGACTGATGACAAGGAAACAGACGGACTGTCAGCGAATTCTAAAGGCGTTCCGTTTTGAATATTGAGTAAGGAACCCTAAAAAATTAAACAATTACATAATTAAGTTTATCATAATATTTGTACCATATAACAAAAAAAAATCGCAGGAAAACTAAATTCAAATGATGTCTATTATTTCATACCGATATTGATAATTTAAGTGAAGTCTTGTTATTTAATTTCCGTTCACAGAAATAACATTAAGCAAGTGCTTGTTCAGCAGATAGTGTGGGAAAAAATGAAAAACTAAAATCTTATTTCCTACTCGATTAAAACTCGAGACGAGAACGGATTGAAATGATTTTTAAAATATTGTTAAAATATATACAGGCTGGAAATAAATGTTTTGAAGCCAGCGAAATATTTAGACTTTACTTTTTTAATTTTAAACATAAAAATGAAATGTAAATATATTATAATTAACATACATAGAAAGACAGATACATATAGAAATAAATAAAACTAATATTTTCGGATTGTCTAGTTGTTAAAAATACCAAAATAGTTTTAGAAGCAATGTTATCACATGACATTTCACGTCAAAATTGTCAAATTCTCAGCGAAGGAATTTTTTTATGCTATGACTTCATTCGCATTGAAATCGTGAAATATTCTGCCAATGTCAATGTTTTTTTTTTATTGAATTAAAATCTTCAGTACTGTGTAGGAAAATTATTATATTCATCTTAATAACTTCAAAATTAAATTTCTACTTCCGTGGTGATCTTTTCTGATTGGTATTCGAAAGTTAAGTAATAATATTTTGATCCGAGGGTCATTGTGTTGAAGATGGGGAGCCTAAATAAATAGAATCCGGACAAATATAAATAAATATCCAAAATTAATTTCGGCTTCCCTTTAAATATTAAACTCGATAAGTAAATTATTGATAATTTATATTCATATATACAAAAAGTTTTAATTAATTAGCAGAACAGTCTTTTCTTCCATAAATTTATATAAAAAATATGTAATAACACATGCAATAGAATATTCTCGTACGTTATAAAAAGCCCTGTATATAATACATAGCAGTATAAAAGATTTTTACTTCATTCCTTATCTTAAAACCACGAAATAACTAAAATTAATAAAACCTTAAATGTATAAAAAAATATGACATTATTACATGTTAAATATTCAAAATACAAGTTTCCCTTAAATCCCTTATTTGTGTATCGGCTCGTGAAAAGATCACCTTTACATACAAATAGGTTTAACGTAACAAATGTATATAACCTTTTCCGAGAGAACCTCTTTGACGTGAACTGACTGAGCCGTCTACAATTTGGTGCCGACTTTTAGGTTATTTTACGTCTCAAACTTTGATTGGGGGCGACATTCGGCCGAATAAAAGGGAACGCATCTTGAATGTTAAAACCTCTTTGTTGGAAAACTTTTTAGTACCGCTCTATTGGAGATCGAAAGAGGAATTTATTAGTATTGAATCCCGTTTATATTCAAAGTTAGCATTAGTTACGAGAGAAAAAACGAAACATTTTAATGTTATTAATACTCCTGAATATATATAAAACTATATATTAAGAACTTTTATTTAAGAAAGAAATCGGTACCTAAATGATTTTTGTGAAGGTACAAAAAGCACAGACTATAAAGGTGCCCTGACACGTTTAAATTCCACGAATATTTGAACGTAAATCTGAATGCAATTAAAATTCACAGGATCGCGGACGTTTGAGAAAACTCAACTAATTGCTGGATTCAGTCGCCTGATGAAATCATCTGAACTCTTCGTTTTCTGTCTGTCCGTTACCGTGTTAAGGTATTTAAGTAACCAGTTCAAAAAGAATCGCTTTATTACATTTGACGCTGGAAACATTAAATTAGGAAACGCCAGATTTATTAATATGTAAATGAAATATATTTTTACTGTACTTTATAAGCATATTTCTATTAAAATTAATTACTATCTTGACAATAAAAGTCTTAATTATTATTTAAGATACATTTATTGTAACTGGCAACACTGTCATTAATACAAATATAATTTACCTCAATAAGTAGGCAACCTTTCAGCTGAATACGCGTAATCATCGCCGTTCTCTACGTGACGTGAAACTATAAAATGGGATAAATTATACTTTGGGATAGATGTCTTTCGTTTACTTAATGCATATAAAATTTATTCGACCGTAAACTCTGGTGACTTTGATATAACTCCATTTTCAACTACATTAATTATATTTAAATTAAAAGCTAATAATAAATTGTACTTGGAAATAAATTCTTTTAATTTTTGGACAAAAAAACATCATGAAATAGAAATAAATATTCGCAACAAATTATTATTCTAGTGAAAAGTTTGTTTTGTAAGAAAAAATAATTTAATATAATATGTAAAACGTTTCTGGACTTGATGACTTTAACATACAGTTCGGATGTAATCACTATTTATAATTACCAATTAATATACTATTATATCAAGTACTTTTAAACATTAACGATTTTATCATTAAATAATTGTTAATTATACTTGTATATATTATAATGTTTTGCTGTTATTAATGGCCCCTAAGCTCTAACCACACTTGTGATGGAACAAAACGCAGACGCGCCGATGTTAGTCACCAAGAACTTTCCCCATTAGCATGTTATGGGAGAAGTTTGGAGACGGCGACCTTCGGAAGCTTTATGAATTATAGATCGAAATTTAATATATTCCTAATATGGAAAATCATCTACATTATAAGATATATACGACGGAATTTTATTTCATAACTTAATTATTCCACGTTTTCAATTATTAGCTACCCAAGAACATTATATTTAAAAGATTTAGCGGAATTTTGTGAAACCTTGAACATATCTTCAGTAAATAACTGAAATATGTTTTTAGGAAATAAAAGGGTGCAAAGTATGCATGCATAGATAAGGAAAGAAGATACAAATAATAAATTACTTACTGAAAACTATTTCATTTCTTATACAAAATCTTATTAAAAGTTAAGGTAAAATTTAGGTTACGTTTTTGAGTATAAATTAACATATGCTATCTTTTAATCACTGTGGACAAAGGCGAATTAAGTGTGGTAACAATAGTCTACGTCTCTATGTACCAACCGCAAAGCAAGTAACCTTTCGCTTATTTTAATATGTCAGTAATACTTGGCTCTACTTCAATGCCTTCAGTACAGCTGGTCTTTTGAAGACTTCAATGACTATCACACAATCAAGACTGGTTATTTTCAGACGCATGTTAAGCCTTCTGTTTTTTGTAGACTTTCCTCGAAAATTGATGAAACTAAACGCTTTCTTGTAGCTTTGGACCAGTTTGCTTGCATGTGTATGTCTTTCCAATTTGGATATATTCAAGGATAGAGTGAATAGGCTATTAGTCAGGTAGTGCATTCACCTGAGACTTCATTTCCAACTACAAATAGATGGAATAACAGTCTATATTAAAATTAGGGACATAAGTAGTAAAAATATGGCTTTATTATACTTAATAACAGAACGTAACAAACCAACAACCTATTAGGACTTCATCGTTTCAATAGGGGTCCTTCCAAGAAACTCTTTCTTGGAAGTTATAATGCGCTTTACGCAATAACAGAGAATTATTTTCACAGACAGGGTTTCTTATACATTTTGTATTAACAATTTTCATCCGTAATTATAAGACATTTTAACTCAACATTATAATGAATTATAATTCTGATATTGACTATTGATAGAAGTAAATTTCCAATGCAAAACTTATTTACCGGTGTATTGAAAATGTTTTCACTCTTCATTTTTTTTGTAAGACAAAAAAATTACGCATTATTTTTTTATATATATTTAAAGTCCTCTATTGTATTTTTTAAACCTATCTATCGTCAAATATTTAATGTTTGCTTTGCTTTACTTCGCCTGAAATGGTATGAAGGCAAAGTGGTATGTCAGAATTTCAAATCATTCTTCAAACAAATTGCAATGTTTATTTTTTATTTTATACCCAAAACAGAAAATTGTAATTAAATTACAATTCCCATTTATATGTAACTTATTTTTTACCTACATATTTCTAAAAAAAGAAAAAAGTCAACATCAATTCCAAAACTTATAACGGAACGTTTTCTATTCGTTCAGAAACACAAAATCAATATCTTAAATTAATAGTAAAGTAAAACTGAAACACAGACATGAATATATATAGAAAAATACTTTATTATTAAAATTCATCATTAACAATTGTAAATTATGGAATAAGAAGAAAAACTCTCTAATATATTTTGACGTTAATGATGCAGCAAAATGTGTACGTGTGACGCAGTTTCAGGACGACAACCGATAAACGTCAGTCGTCAAAATCAGTACCTGCGTGTGCTTGAACGTGAATTAAACAAATTGATCACTTTTCTAAGAAAAAAAAATTGTTCCTACTCTACATAAACTCAAGTGATGTCTCTGAAGCTGAACAAATTCGAGACTCCAAGCTCTGCCAGCTCAGATAGGTAAAACGTGTACGCTAACCTTAATTATTGTTTGTTTGCACAGCTGTCTCGTGTCAACAAATTTATCGTTTTGCAAAGGTTCTTTGGGTTCTCGTTCAGAAACTATTATACGAGCTCGTTGATTTGATGTTTTTAGTCGTAGTACCAGTAATAAATACACTTACTAATGTGTATGTAGTCTGGATCGATCACTCTCATAACCTATGCATCCACACATTGTGATTTATTTTTAGAATTGTATTTAGTACTCAGGCATCTCGCTTAGTTCTGTACAGATTCGCTATAAATTGCACACGTGCTTCATACTGCCGGTTTTCAGGAAATATATGTTATTCATGAATTACTTAGTCATTTTCAAATGATACACTTCATGTATCATGCTTCGCAAATTCGCCCGTTACGAAAGTGTAGTCGACGTTAAGATATTATAGACCTAACAATTGACTTCGCAAATATTCGAAAACTAAATAGATGTTAAAAATATTAACAAATCCCACTAATTCAATGCACATGTTATTAAAAAACAAACATCCATGTGATAACCATAATGTAAATAAACACACATGCAAACACTATTAGATAAGATAAATAATTTAAAGTATCAACTTAGTCATACATCATGATAAAAAAATACAGACTCAGATTTTGTATTGGTGACATTGAAATTAAGAAAAAGCAAGGTAAAACCTCATTTGATCATACTTCACCAATTTAATATAAAAAAGTTAATCCTAAGTGAAATTATAGCAAAAGCCATATCAAAACAGTATAAAATATATAGAATGTGATCTCATACACAAATGAAAACAGTTTCAAGTATTATTAATGACAAAATAATGAAATTTGATTGTACTCAATTGTATTACACCGGCCTGAATGAATCAAGCTATCATTTTAACTCAATTAAAAGAGACAATGAATAGTTTTGTTTTGTTACCGACATTATAAACAAGGTTAATAGATCTCAAGCATAAAATATTTATCGATCTCTCTTTAATTTATTAGCATTTTCTTCTAGATTTTGCCAATATCATCTATGAATATTACTGAACTATTTAAATGAAACTAATATTTACGGATTTACTACACGATTTTCTATTTTTGAATATAAACTAAAAACAAACATCGGGAGTATGTAGTTTAAAGTCAAAAATGAAAATGTAGTAAATCCCAAAATATTAGTTTCATTTAAATGAGTACTTGCGAAAATCTTAGATCTCAATATTACTGAACTATGTAAGGAGATTTAAGTCTCAGTAACAGATTTCTACTGTATATTATTAGATTATTTGTAAATTACTTAAATACTAAGAACATTGGATTAGTTGGTTATTACATGTTACAACAACTGTTACTAGGTCCGAGAGACTTATTAAAGATAAAAATAACTAAGAAACATAATTAAATTTAATTACACTAGTTTTTGTTATCGACTTTCCTTGTATTATATCTATGTATGTTTGTGATATAGCTAAACTAAAAATGGAGTAGAATATTATCTTATAATTTGCTAATTAAGTGATGTAGAATATTATGTAGAATTATGAACTATAGTAAAAAGCATTTCAATGATAATAAAATTCAAGGTTTTCTTATTTTTTATACCAGACTAAGGTTGCTGTTACAAATACATAATTAAGATATATAATGAATTTATTTGAATATAAATTTGTTTATTTACTTCTATTTTTCTTATAAATAACTAGATAACTAGTTTAAAGGTATTTGGGACCTTTCATAGTGATGAAGTACTATAGAAGTATTATTACTTTTGTTTTGTTTATCCAGTGATACAGAATTGGCTCTCGAGCCGGAGCAGGTGTTTCTAGATGACGATGACTACACACGAGCCCCAGCCTCACCTACAACGGTACCCAATGTACGCACATACAGACCACCTTCTACAGGTATGTACTAACATATAATATGTATAATAATTGTATTGTTACAATTGTATCCTGATCCTGGCAAGTACCAATGTGATTTTTCTGAGTCATATGTACTTTCTAAGAATATTTAGACATTACTGATTAATGCTGATTCTCAAAAGAGGGTTGATGTCAGGCAGGCGGCCAATCATAAAAAACAATTAGCCCAAAACTATTCACAACATGTAAGGCAGACCCTGGCTATAGCTGGGAAATTGCCAGGTAGAAAAAGAAGATGTATAATAATTGTATATGTATATGTGTGTGTGTTTGTAGAAATAATTGCTAGTAATTCAATAGATCTAGTAAAAATTAATTTTTATTACTTAAGATAAAAAATAAAGAGAACTTGCATAATAATAAAATAATGATTATAGAAAATAATTCTCGGAACTATTATCATAATCTATAGGAAATCTATAAAGGTGTAATTAAAATATTATATTTTATTAATTCTATTAATCAGCTGTTGTTCTGTGTCTATCAACTATCGGCTTGGGTAGTGCGTTTCTATTTGGTAGTATCTTATCACAGCTATAAGTGTAGTTCATTAAGATACCGACACTAATTAATTATAGTGAAAGACGTGATAATAGTAACATTAATTTAACGATAACTCATCATTATAACAATGGCTGTTATCGTTGGAGATATTTATATGTTAACCCCAGCATGGAGTCCAAGGTTGTATATATACTAGTTTTAAATTAATTAAGTTTTTAAGAAATATATATTAAATGTATTTTATTATATTAAATAATGAAGCACTTGACCTGCTTTTCTTTATCGCGACGTTCGAACCAAATCAGGATTTTTAAGGTCAAGTTTGAATGGCATTATTTTTTTTCTCATTTTTAACGTAATATGATAATGAATATGTATTATTGTTTTCATTAGGTTCTAACATAATGAAGTCCCCCCGAACGCCTCGTGTTCGTACTGCGTCTATGTCGCAGTCAAACAAACGGACAGCGGCGGGTAGCATTTTACACGCGGACAGACGGACCATATACACCGCGGGCAGGCCCCCGTGGTATAACTGTACCGGGGGCCAGGAAGTGGAACCTTTTCTTATAGGTAAGAAAGGCCCTTAAAGGCCCCTTTATGTAACAATCAGGGGGCCCAAGGTTTATAGACATAACTTTTATTTATCTTGAGGCCCCCAAAAGCTCCTTTATATAACAATCAGGGGGCCTAAGATTTAAAAACGTAACTTTTATGTAACGTACAAAATGCATGTCTAGTAAATGTAGTTTTTTTTTTGGTAAATATATTTCTCTAGCTAATCTCTCACTCATTTCGACACGTCACGCTAATTAAAAGCATATTTTATGCATAGTTATGTCATGTGATGTTTGTATAGAAGTAATTTATTTACTACGTGTAGCCGCACTCGTTCTCCTAAATAGATCAATATTTCAAATATAATTTTCAGTTTCACTAGAGTTTCATTATTATTTATGAACGACTACTACTCGTATTTCAAAATCGAAATTGTTTCGTTACTTTTTCATTCCATAGCCTAAATCGATGTGCGAAATTGAACACTAAACATTTAAGAGATAAAATTCGATTAAATTCTTTTCAGCCGTTACTAACAAATAGACAGACAAAAAATAAGACCACTTTTTAGACCAAAAAAACGGGCGAAAGTAAATAAGTAAAGAAATTTTTTAAAATGTCAAATGACATTTATTTTATTTATAAGACTTTGCCGCGTTTATGTCAACAATGACGCAGGGTTCTGAGATAGAGAATCGATATCGTTACTATGAAAATAGCTGATAATTATAGAAGTATGAGAAATTTTGCGGATGTCCATGGACGACTGTACTACTTCCGTGAGGTAGGCAGTTTAGTCGTTTGCCATCTTTGTAATATAAAAAAATTATTAAAGGTATCTGTGGAGCGAGCGCGTCAGGGAAGACGACTGTAGCTGAAAAAATAATAGAATCTCTGAACATACCCTGGGTCACGATCGTCAGTATGGACTCCTTCTATAAGGTGAGATTACTATTAATATGTAAGTTGTTGTATTCTTTTTCTTCCTTGCAATTTTCCCAAGCTTTGGCCAGGGCTCGTCTTGCATGTTGTAAATAAATTTGGCAAATTGTTTTTACGACCGACCTGCCTGACATCAACCCTCTTTGAGAATGCATTAATCAGTGAAGTCTAAATACTCTTAGAAAGTACATATGATTCGGAAAAATCACATTGGTACTTGCCAGGATCGAATCCGCGCCCTCATGTATGAGAGCCGGCCCTTTTAACTATAGGCCACCACTGACTTGATGAAAACTATTCAATAAATACACAAACATTTGACGAGTTAATACTCCCAACAAGTATAGATGATCATTAAACGTGTTATACCCAGGTGTTGACGGAAAAGCAGCATATAGCGTCGATGCACAATGAATACAACTTTGATCATCCGGACGCGTTCGATATGGAACTGTTGGTGGAGGTGCTGCAACGACTGAGGGAGGGGAAGAAGGTCGACGTGCCCATATACAACTACGTGACGCACTCACGAGAGAATAGGACGGTGAGGAACACTAACACGAACTAATACAGAGAATATTACATAAGGGTCAATGAACCCTGATCACTCTGCCATAAAACTAATAGGTTTTGTACCATAACGGTAGGAACACGAACTAATACAGAGGATATTACATAAGGGTCAATGAACCCTGATGATTCAATAAAACTGATAGGTTCTGTACAATACTGATTGGGAATTAAAATAGCATAGAGAAACAATATTACATAACGTTGAACCCTGATGACTCAATCAAGAAAAGTATAGACCTTGTACCATTTCGATTGGCAAGTTCTAAACAGTTACGTATTTCGAGATGGATTTGTTTTACCTACTCTTATACTAAATTGGGAATCATGAGAAGTAAAAGTTCTGTAAAGTCATGAACTTTTTAACTTGACCAAAATCATAGTATATTGTATACATATGTTTTGTATATAGTTCAAGTGTTATCTACACAACGTGTTTTAATATTAGTAATGTTTCAGAAAACAATGTACGGAGCGAACGTCATCATATTCGAGGGTATCCTGGCCTTCTATAACACGGAGGTGTTGAAGTTGTTGGACATGAAGGTGTTCGTGGACACGGACGCTGACATCAGACTCGCGAGGAGACTCAGGAGGTATATATATTACTAAAGAATACCTGATCTGGAATTATTACCTTGTTTTGGTACCCTTAATTCGATAAAACGAACATAACTTTGAAAAAGAGTTAATTCTGTTATATCCTTACCATTAACTAGATTCAAGATACCATTACCTATATTTCTTAAACCTGTCTCAAAATATATTATTATAATTTAATTTTTTTTTGATTTAAATGTACTAATCAGGTTCATCTCAAGAGTTAATAGCTTTACTATTATAGGGCATTTACCACGTGAGGTGACATTATCATTTACATTTATTTGGTATCGAATTCTAAAAAAGCAAATAATTGAGCTTGTGTCAACAATAAAAGAATTTATCTTCATAGAATTAATATTTATAAAATACTAGATGACCCGGCGAACTTCGTATCGTCCTATAATCAAGAAAAATCTGTTACGTTTTTTAATAATTAAATTTAGGTTACACCTTAGCCTCAGAACTGGTGGTGGTTATGCTATTTTTCAGTAGTCGCTCATATATGAAGTTTGTATTTTTAACATAGCGCCATCTATTGAATACTTACTTAACTCAGTCAACAGATAATTAGTAGTTTAGGAGTCCATCGCGGACAAACACGTGACACGAAATTTTTATATATATAAAGATTAATATTTTTATCCACAGAGATATAGTTCAACGCGGTCGAGATCTCGAAGGTGTGTTGAAGCAGTACATGACGTACGTAAAGCCTTCCTATCAGAGTTACATAGCGCCGTGTATGGCGCACGCGGACATTATAGTACCGAGGGGCGGAGAGAACAAGGTGGCGATCAGCCTCATAGTGCAACACGTACACAAACAACTACAACTGGTGAGACAAACAGACATACACACATAGTTTTTGGTATATTTTATATGTATACCAGAAGACCCGGCGCACTTCGTATCGCCCTATAATCAAGAAATATCTGTTAAGTTTTTTTATTTATATTCTCGGAGTTTACCTATTAAAGCCATAAATCTCGGTGTTTTGCAGTGCGACAGAATGATTGACATATTAGTTAGTTGTCAAATCTAATGTAAAAAAAAAACGTTTGTATCAACAACTATTAATAAATTAAAAATTAATTAAAAAAACATTGTCCAGCGGACAAAATTGTGAATCTAAACCATTCCCAGATACCCTTGAACACACACAAAATATTTCATCAAAATCGGTCCAGTCGTTTGAGAGAAGTTCAGTGACATACACACTCACAGATGAATTATATATATTTAAAGATATAAGCAGATACATCACTTTATATATGGATCTAAAAAGTTTGTAGTGCAAAAACATATCTTCAGGGATAGTGCAAATCCGCGTAACTATCATTGGATAATTCCGCGTATCTACATTAGAAGCAGATTATCAGAAGAAAGTTAAAGCTGAAATATTTTCCATATTAACGAAAAAATTAACTATCCAATAAATAAAAAAAAAACGAATTATCCAATAGTAGTTACGCGAATTTGCACTATCCCGACGATATACAGTCGTAGAGAGTTTTGTACTTAGTCATAGGCACTTTAAACTATATTAGACTAATGTACTAACTTTTCAAAACTGATTTCTATATGTACTTTTATCGCTAATATCGAGAAACCATTCGTGACCGAATACTATACAAATCAGAATATAAGATACAAATAACGATTGTGTATGTATATTCCAGAGAGGCTTCAAGGTCCGTGAGAAGTTGGCGGTCGCGCATATAGGTCAGCCAGTACCGGATTCGCTGTATGTACTCAAAGATACCCCGCAGGTTAGTGTTTGTTATTTTTATATATAAATGTATGTACATTTTCTTGTATATAGTATTCCATCATATAAAGACCAACGCCATATGTGGGTTTTACATTACAAAGTCATAGTTTCTGAGTAAAGTTAATAAAAATTTGTATCATGTATTCATCTATTATTTTGAGCTAAATCTTAATATAATTTATTCATCAATTCTCAAACTACCCTCAAATTTAAACAATTTCTGTATTATTTTTTGAATCCACATACAAACAGACACTAAATAACTTTTCCAAAGCTTCTTATCTTAAGTGTATTGTAATATATAATGAAAAACCATTGAATAAATAATTATTATTATCATTGTATACTAAGTATTGAATATGTATTTCCGTTCCAGGTCCAAGGCCTGCATACATTCATCCGCAACAAGGACACTCCTCGCGACGAGTTCATCTTCTACTCCAAACGTCTAATGCGGCTGGTCATAGAGTTCGCCCTCTCACTCATGCCCTACTCCGACCACTCGGTGGACACGCCGCAGGGAATACCGTACACCGGTCACTTATATACAAATATATTATAACATATACTAGTTACACAAGGAAATTGTATAAAAATTAGATTCGTCAAAAAAATATAGAATAAAAAATGTATGGACACAAATAGTGTCTAAAATAACATCCATATAGATGTTCAGTCATTATGAATTTGATAAAATAAACGCCAGCTATCTCCTACAGACGGACACAAACACGCTTTAAACTCTAATGATTTATTTGTTCTTAAATATATTTATTATATTAACGAATACCATCCATACTTAATTCCAGCTGATATAAATATTTCCAGGTGTTAAGTAATATGTTATTTTCAGGTCGTAAGTGCGACGTGGAGAAAATCTGTGGCGTGTCCATTCTCAGGGCGGGAGAAACGATGGAACAGGCTGTGTGTGATGTGTGTAAGGACATACGGATTGGGAAGATACTCATACAGACCAACCAACAGACAGACGAGCCAGAGGTACGGAATATATGGAAGGAGGGATCATGCTATAATGGTTGTTAGTGTAATCTTCTTCTACCTGGCAATTTCCCAGGGTCTGCCTTACATGTTGTGTATAGTTTTGGCTATTTGTTTTTACGACCGGCCGCCTGCCTGACATCAACCCTCTTTTGGAAATCAACATTAATCTGTGATGTCTAAATAGTCTTAGAAAGTACATATGACTCGGAAAAATCACATTGGTATTTGCCCAGGCTAATTGGTGGTTGTTAGTTTAATGTTGTGCGGCAAATATTTATGAATGGGTTCTAAGATCTAAAGCTTGCGAGTAATTATTTAAATGAAACTAATATTTTCAAATGTACTACGCGTTTCGGTTACTTTGCAACAAAGACTGTAGACTAGATGTCATCATATATTATGTAGTTTCATTTAAATGAACACTCGCGAGTCTTAGATCTTAGAACTCATTTATAAATGGGTATAAGAATATAATTTTGCTTTTCTAAATTCATTATTGAATATTAGCATTTGAATTGAATTTCTCATTCATCATACTAACTTGAGTTCTTCTGGGATCAATTTAAGAATCACTTCGTTTCCTATCACTTATAACAGTTACCCAAGACTATAAGCCATAATGGCGTCTTATCGATCGCCACAGTGTAGTATTTCCATACTAATCCTATATTAACCTCCCAGCTATACTACCTGCGACTGCCCAAGGACATCAAAGACTACCAAGTGATCCTGATGGACGCCACAGTAGCCACAGGCGCGGCCGCCATTATGGCTATCCGCGTGCTGCTCGACCACGACGTGCCAGAGACTAACATCTCGCTGGTGTCGCTGCTCATGGCTGAGATCGGAGTGCACTCCATCGCGTACGCCTTCCCGCAGGTACGTGGAGGGGGGAGGGGGGATTAATACGTTATTGTGTGTGAGAGAGAGAAAGAATGAATAGGGTCCCTGGAGGGAGGGGAATTGATACTTCACTGTGCGTGTGTGAATAAAGGGGGGAATGACAGTGGTGTGCTGTGTATAGTTATAGTTTATTATATATTCCTTATGCCAGGATTATGAGTAACATATTCTATTGTTCTTATGTATAGTTTCATAGTTGTATGTCCTGCATTGAACTGTATAATATAGATATATGACATGAATAATAAGATTATTAGTATAAAACAGAGGTTAAACTTCAGCCGTTCGAAGTGTTGACATATTAAGTTAAATAAACCTTTGTCCTGATACTTTAGTGGTTTAAATAAAAATGTTAACATTATATTTCAGGTAAAAATCGTAACATCAGCCCTTGACCCGGAGATAAACGAAAAGTTCTACGTCCTGCCGGGGATCGGCAACTTCGGAGACCGATACTTTGGTACGGAACCCGCGGACGACGAGTGAAGAGAAACACACACACACACACACACCAGTGATGTATGTATTGAACGGAAGATGTTGACAACAGGCTAATGTCTATCATAGGATATATTTTCTTACCGCAGGGACTGGAGGTAGTTCTGTATACATAAATATTAACCATATGATATATAGCGTGCACAAACATTGTATTGCCGATATCTGTCCACGCGGATATAGACTGAATGTGGTTCACTTAAAGGCTAAATTCGCCTGAGAGTGACAAGCGACTAGCTCTACGTATTATTCGCTTTGTTCTAGCTTCTCCGTTGCTATGGAAGTGTTTATATGCCAAATATTAAATGTGTAATCGAGTATAAAACGTCTAGTCATTTTTTTTAGTGCGTCGTAATGTTACTATCAACGAAATTATATTATATTAGTGTTCTATTAAATTATTTATACTTTGTGAATTATTATGTCTTTAATATCTATTTTTTAATATGACACTTCCATAGCTAGACTCCTGTATGCAAATGTGTGAACTATTATTTTAATATAAGACAAATAATCTTCATTATGAAATCACTTCATGTGTTTTAAATAACGTATAATGATGTATTTAAGATGTACTGTATTAGAGATCCTAAAACATGTTTTATTTGTAGATATAGTACTGATAGATTGTATTGGAAATTAATATAGCACAAAGGTACATTAATCGACTCATAGGGCTACAAATATATTGAAAATAACATTGCACAATACAAAGAAAACAAATAAAATGAATATCAAACATTGTATATTTAAGTAACTTTTCCTCTTTTTATTGTGACATATAAATCATTATTAAAACACTACACTTATGTATGTAAGATATTTTCTTCATGAATCAATTTATATACTACAAGTATATCCATGGTTTACTCGTTACAAACTACAAATGAAATGATCAAATAAAATTGTGTTTTATATACATTACAGGAAATATAGATATTGTGGATTTATATAGAGATGTTGTACCGCAAACATATACCCAAATATGGTGCTTCTATGAAATTGTACTGTGTTCAAATACAATAGATGTAACTTGACTCTGATCTTAAACAGATTGTAAAACGCTCATTCCGTATTCTGCCACACTTTATTTACTTTAGGTATGTGTTTCTAGCATGTTTTTAAGTTATAGGAATGACAGACGAACATACATTTGTAAGTCTTATTATAATGCTGCCGAATGACTGTTCCATTATGTGAAATATTGCTGTAAGATAAAAGTTTTAGTTATAATTTTTATTTATTAGTTAATATTAATTTATAAACAATTTTGTCTACACTTAAACTGTGCTTAATTATTATAAGTTATGTGTATGAAGTTGTAAGTAATGTGGATGCGACTGTCGTCCGTCTGTCGCATGTTTTCTTTTGATTATTCTAACTGGTTTATGTTATGTACATAATATGGCACAAGCGTGTAATTATAATATGTAAATTGCTGTGAATATACAATTATAATGAAACAAACCCATTAAAACATAAGAATATGTCACTGTCTTTTTTTCTTTGGCCTTTTTTTTAAATTTGAACTGAAATACATATATCGTTATATTTCAAAGTTTTTATATTTATCGTTTTTTGTGATAATTATTAGAACATGGACCACTAATTTATAATATATAAAGTTATAATTGCTATCACAGTTCCTGCGAGCTCTACAGCATTACAAAAATTCTAAGTATAATATATACTATGTTTATAAAGTTATAATATATCCTACTAGATTATATAGAAACAATATATATCAACTATTTATTTGTGCACTCAAAATTAAACAATGCTGAAAAAGACCTATAGTATAACAATAACAGTTTAAAAAAACATATTCTAGCAATCTGTACTTATAATGTAAGACAGATGTTAAGATATTCAATCTTATTTAATAATATGATAGCCGAAGATCCCACTGCAGGATTGGTGCGTTCATCAGTTAATTATTTAAAACCAAATTTTTGTTTATTTACAGTTAGAAAAAATGTTTTTCTAACTATACTATATATACGAGTATATACTAGGTTGCCTATCACAATTTGGCCGCCATTATTTTTAATTAATTTTTGGGAAAAAAATCCGTTTATTTATTTTTCAAAAAAAAACCTATACATGATAGTAATTTATATGAAGATTCTAAAAAATCACGGTTGCCATTGCGCACCTAGCCGCAACTCTTCGCAGCCAGGATGTGATAGTAAATAAACGGATTTTTTTCCTAAAAAATAATTAAAAATAATTTTATTTAAAAAAATGGCGGCCAAATTTTGATAGGCAACCTAGTGTATGTTCTTCTAACTGTAAATAAACATAAAAATTTGGTTTCAAACAATTAACCGATGCACTCACCAATCCTGCAGTGAGATCTCGGACTATGAGTAATTCATATTATACAGTTTTCTTCTTCGTTTTTAGTTAGTCGTGTTTCCTTATAGATGTCGCATATGTCATGTGCCGATATTATACTGAACTATGTAAAGATGATTCCATTTTAAGTAACCGATTTCTTTGACAGTAATATGTCAGTTATTTTTGAAGATTATTTTTTCATGTTCACACGTGGTCGCAAGCGTCTAAATATCGTTGGAAGACCAATTCGTAGTTTCCTCTTTTCCCGCTTTGTATTTCGGCTTGCGTTTGATTTTTCCTAAAAATATTAATTTGCATTTTAGAAAAGTAAATAAATGTTTGAAATAATAATGTTTTCTACGTACTTGTATAACTCTTCACACTCTTCCATAGACACGTCTCCACTCACTAGTCGAGCTCCGAAACCGCTGTAGTATGAGGAGTAACGTTGCTGAAATAGTTTTACTTTATTTAGGATATCTAAGACATTACGTACGGAAAAATAATGTGTATTCTACTATTACAAAGTCAAGCTGTACCTATACTAAATTTTGTGTATATAATTTATATGTAAAAGATGGACATTAAAAGTCGTGTTGTATGAAATAGAACACTATGTTCGGAAACTTTATAAATAACATAAAGAACTAATTAAATGTACGTATAACTTAAACTTTAAAGTAGGTATATGCAGAAATAATTATGATTTGACCTGTTAATCTGACTACGAATGTATATATTACCAGTGATTTAACCAACCTGTACATGCTTCACGAACACCTGTTCAGCGACCACAGCGGCCGCGACCCTGAGTCCTCTTGCGCATTCGTCGATATAGTTAATGTACATCGACAACTGGTCACGGACACTCCCGCCCCGGGGACACGACACTCGCAGGGAGATACCACCCGGGGGGGCGGAGCCCTACACACGTGATATAACTCTCTATAACCAATTCTTAGTGGCCAATACGAGGTATCAAAAAAATATGTTGAATTGTCTAGGTTATAAGATATATATCTATTTTATTAAGTTAAGTAATGGGATCCGTGAATAATTAATATGATAATGATACAGTTGTTCTTCAAGTTTTCTTGTAATCCTTATTTTTTAATAGGATCTATTTAACTATATAATAGTACAGAGGGCTGACTACTGTTGCCACAACATAAAATAATTTTCAATTCATCCGTCAATACGTTGACAATATAAAATGCTCAAAATTACCCTAAGTAAATAATTTCTTTGTCCATTTTCTAGATATCTCTTTAGTACTCACTTGATCAATAATACATTTCAACATGAGCGTCATAGTCTTAATGTCCGAGGGATCAAATGTATTAGTCATTGTCACTCCTCCAAACACGTTGTAACTGTGGAAAAACTTTTGACATAATAACGACCATTTTTGGATATCGCAGTATTCGGAATTGACTATAATGTAGCTTGCAAATAGCGAGTAGCTTAAATTGTATATGATCTGAAAATACTAATAAAACAATAAACTTACACTCCAGCTAAATACATATGTTGTCCTGGATGAGTGCAGACTTTATAATAGCGATCTAAACTATGGAACTTGAGGAAGTACAAACAGCTGGTGACGTCCCACATGTACCTATTCAGTGTGTCGCTATCAAAGTCGCATCTCGGTCGCCACATATCTATAGTCCTACAGTTCCTGCCAAAGCTCTGGTACGGCATGAGCAGCAGCTGACATTTATAATTCAACCTGTCCCTGTATTCCGCTGTTATCTTTAGAAGTTTCGCGAACAATTTGATCTCTCTTGCGACGTCTGTTTGGAACACCGCATCGTATCCTTCCCTGTACGGCCAGAGGAGGAAACATTCGGCGTTCAGACGCTGAGATACTTCCAAACATTTCTTGATCTGACTGGCTGCTTGCACGAATGTTATAGCTTCGTTACTCGTGAAAGCCCCTGACGCGTATCTGATTATGAAAAACCATATTAATGTTTAAATACTCTTTATAATAAAGCCTTAGATATTATTTATTCTATTACCTCGGATGGGAGTGCAAGTCGGGCGCCATCCACAATAATTTGATCTGTGTTTTTTGCACTAATTCCGTTATATAATCGGTGATTTCATCCCAATTACTTTTGTTTTCATCCCAGTTGTCTGTTTGTGGCACTAGATCACTATCAAACGCGGTCCAATACTTCACTCCCAGCTTTGTACAGAAGTCGTAGAAAGCTCTGATACAGCGTTTGCAATTATCTACGGTGTTTGTGTGATCATCCCATTGTCGGTTAAAAGTAGGTCTTCCTTGAGCATCTGAACCTATTACATCGGTATTTAAACTGTTTTAAAAGATTCTAAATACAAACCTATATATTGTCTTCCCACGTTATAGTTAATATTATTCATAACTCAACAATTTCTTACCGTCATATTTAAATTCCGTGAAAGACACACTATATTTAAGCCATTCTTCCATATCTTTAGACAGTATTTTCTCTCCGCTGTTGTAATGGCGGTAGTAAGCTGTGTCCGTTGCAGTGGCCATGTTGTTGTACTCTATTCTCTCTATGCCTTAAATTTAATGTAATACGAACTATTACACTTACTAAAACTTGTATATGGAGGTTTATCATGTTTTTCCTTATTCAGTGTATCAATACATACGAATATTTCAATTACAATAATCACTTTATAGCCAAATTAACGTGATATCTTACAGGTATGGAAACAAAGAACGATCTTACTACAAATAAAATCAGGTAAAAATCCTAGTTCATATTTTTAAATTAAAAAAAAATTGTAATAATGACTATCATGACTATTTACCTTGAAAGTAGTCAACGTTTTCCGTCCTCGCATCCCTAGTTTTCTGTCTTTTCCCGGCTTGGACGTGTGACATCTTTAATTATAATAATTAAAACACAATATCATATATTCCGCTAGTGTAGCCAGGTCAGCATGTGGCCGGCAAACAGAAGTTATCACTCTTATATGATACTGTTTGAATGGAACCAGCCAAGCGTTGTGTGTCGGGTTGCGCTTTGTTTTAAACCTGTCCCGAATCAGCAACCAGATATTAACATTGTATTCAAATGTAATATATACTCTACAGGCACAAATTTTGTTTTAACTCCTCTAAATTTATATGTTATATATATTTAAGAATTAGTTTTAACATTATATTAATAGCTAGCAATCTATTTCGGTCAGATGAGGTCTGTATTCTGTTACGTTTTATAATCAATAGATCGGAAAGGTTTCGCTATCGGTTCAAGGTCGTCGTAATTTTACGCTTTTGTATCGTCATAACTAAACCACAGTCCACAGATTTCATTTATTATTTTTTAATAGAAATCGTTAATGATTTATCGTTTCGGTTCGTGAGAATCAAACTATGTTTATATAAATACTTTTTGGTAGTTCACTGCTAAAACTACACTCATTTTCGTTTGTGAAGTTACAGTAGTTTTTTCAACTATTTCCCGTATTTTTTTAAATAAAACAAACAAAAGAATTAAAAATACTTTATTGTTAGTCTTATATAAACATCCATAACAACCGTATAACCACAGCTATTAATAATATAAGTATCGGTACAGGTAGCGAGGCTTTACTTTGTCTCCAATATCCCGACACTTCCCCTTTCTTCAAAGGCTTCACTAATCCTGGCATTTTAGGTTTATCTACAGGGTGTCCCATCATTGAGAATTTGGAGGCGCTCGTTATTTTAACTGTAACCAACTTCCCCATATATTTTTCCTCCTTAGGCACCAACACTTGTTCGTAGAACTCGTTGTGTGCTACATAATATTTCTTATCGTGGGACACATCTGTAACTAGAACCTCCTGTATCTCGCCGACCTTGTGAGTGTAAGGTTCATATGAACGGAAGAATTCTGATAATTTCTTCGTCCGTTTCTTTACATCTTGAGGCGGGACCTGGTGGAGAGAGGATATATTACTACAGACACCACATATATACCGTATTATGTATATTTATTGGTTTGTATAGAAGAAAACCACAAAAAATAAACATTATATAAACTCGCAGAAAACCAGTCACATACCTAATTAGTGACAAAATGTAAGCAAGCAATAATGTTCTTTATATCATTGTAATAAGGTTCTCACTCGTGTCATATTAGCGGCGGGCGTCCCCGGGCGAGGGAAGAACTGATTGATGAATAGTGATGAGAAGCGATACTTCTCACAGAGCCTCATAGTATCCTCGAAATCTTCGTCCGTCTCCGTGGGGAACCCGCAGATGATGTCCGTGGCTATCGTGATACCGGGAACCCTGGGGAAGATACATCTCATCTATAGATATATTCTACTCGATTTCATCTCATTAAACTCAATATAAGTCAATTAATTTCTCCCAAGTCCAATCTCCAGACCATATTTTGGTGTATTATTTTACACAGAAAGTTTGATACTGTAAAATTCACATTTCTCACATGACAAACTTCTAAATACTAATAAGTAATATAACATCTTGAAAATCCTACTACATAAAGTTACTTGAATGTAAAGTTTTAAGTTCAACTAAACAATCAATCCACTAACTTCTCGGTGAGATAGTCAACGACCCTCTCGAAGTCTTTCCTAGAGTACTCCCTCTTCATGTCAGCCAGAACCTGGTCGCTCCCAGACTGAACCGGCACATGAAGGAACCTGGAACCAACACACGCTGTTAGTATAGAACCGAGGAGCTCCAATGTACCACATAATACCAGGTGAATTACTGTTAATATATTTTAATCCGGTTAATTAAATATTTTATTTCTAATTATTAAAATAGATTAATAAAAATTGTGCCAAAAGAAAGGCTTCATTAAAATATCCAAAAGTATGTGATTAAAATAAAGTTCAACCTTCACTTAAAATTAAAAAAACATACTAAAATATCTCTCCACTTCTTAATCATTATAGTCACATATCTTTATTATACTAAGGAACCTATGATTTGTGAGTAGTTCAGTAATACTATAATCATATGTAGTTACTCAAAATCTTATGTAGTTTATAGTGTTATAGGTAGTATATTTATGTACTAAAAGTTCCGAGTGCTCTCAATGAATCCCGATGTACGGATAAACCTGACAGGGATTTTGTAACACCGTAAAAGAAATTTGTAATGTATTATATAAATAAATCAAAATTGATAAGAGAACAACTAAACATGAATTAAGAAGTAAAGATAAATTGAGGCTAGCTGGTGTACGTACAAAGTTCGGTCAAAAAACTATATTATTTGATGGAGTGCAGTTATATAACAATTTACCAAATGATATAAAGAAGGCAGAGAGTATGAATATATTTAAGAAAAGCTGTTAATAGTTTGTTTAGATACCGGCGCTCCAGAGGTGTTATATTGTAACTACATATTAATGTATCTATTAATCTCATGTTATGTAAACCCTGTGTTTTTTATGAGAAAATAAACTTTTTAAACTTAATAAATAAAATATATTATTATATGTACTTACTTATAAACCCTGGGATGCTGCATGATGTCAGCGACCTCTGGCAGATGTTCCAGGATGTAGGGCGGGTTGGTCATGCCTAGACGGAGGCGACACCCGGCGGGGATGACTGACACTAGCTGTTTGAGGAGGGAGGGGAGGGATGTACCTATGTCGCGACCGTATGTTCCTGGAACAATATATATGTAAAAACAACTAAATATAATAGTATATAGTGTTGGCGCCTACGTGTGGACCTGCACTACATTTATTTTTGTCTATATAAATTAACGATAGTCTACATAAATATGTAATCCTTTTTATCTATGTACATACGTCACTTCCTTTTCATTTCAAATTTGCATATCATTCCGCTACGATTTCTTGTCTAAGTAACATCTTCAGATAAAAGTATTTAGCAAAACCAAAGAAGTTTTCTTTAACCTGTCTAAATACCGAACATATAGCATTATCATATGAGTATACTTCAAAGGTAAAGGTTCAAAAACAGATATATCAATTATCAGCTTTAAACTATAATTAGGCTCTAAATAAGTTCACTTTTAATGGAATATTGTGAGTTTATAACATCTTACAGTAATAAGTAATTTTTGGTGACTCATAAGTTTCTCTGAGTAAAATATACATTAGATCTAATTATTAAGTGAAACAACAGTTTCATATCTCATGATATATAACAATATATCATGAGATTTAATGTATGGATATGTGAATATTTCTTACCTGTATCTTCACTAGTCAACCATATTTCACACACTCCCTCCTTGAAGGACTGTTTCGCTCTCTCAACTATTTCCTCGGGAGGGTAACTGCCAAGTTCTCCCCTCGCATGTTTCGTCTTACAGTATGTACACTGGTTCAAACACCCTGTATTTATTGGTATGATCTCTATGAGAGGATTTTTCCTCACTTTTGGTAGCAGCAAAGAAGCACCACCGGCTTTTCTACCTTCTTCTGTTTTCTTTTGACCGAAAAGTCGCACTGTGTGACCTGTTAAAATAAATTATAGTATAATATATATTACATTAAGTATTAATTTAATAAATAAAAATCCTATACAGACAACCCCAAAAAATTTAATTTAGATTTTTTTATTGAAAAAAATATCATCAACATTGTAAAAAAAACTATAAAGAAATTGTAACACAAACTGAAAATACAGATATAATATTGGTATTGAGACGATTAAATTTCGAATAATAATATAAAATATGTTAAGACATATGTAATATTAAAATTATACTCAAATATAAATGTATAAATAATACTTTTTGAAACTAAAACATTTTCTTAGAAATTATATACACAATATCAATACAATACATAGTGAAATTCAGTGAAAGTCAGGGGCGCCTCTCATGCACGAGGGCGCGGGTTCGATCCTGGCCCGGGCAAGTACAAATGTGATTTTTCCTAGTCATATGTACTTTCTAAGAGTATTTAGACATCACTGATTAATGCATTCCCAAAGAGGATTGATGTCAGGCAGGCAGCCGGTCGTAAAAACAATTAACCAAAAACTATTCACAACATGTAAGGCAGACCCTGGCTAATGCTGGGAAATTGCCAGGTAGAAGAAGACAATACATAGTGAAATATTTAACAGCAACATACTGGTTTCCAAAGAATATTAATATTCAATGTTTCAAAATTATATATTATCAATATTTAAACAGTTGAAAAGCAATATTACTGGTTGGTGTTATGTTAATTTTGAATATCAAAGCAAGTATTCTATGAAAACATGTCACATATGGTTACAATTTTGGTACATTATCAACCAAATATATAACATAAAATTGAAAGTGTTATAACATACTGTATATGTCTACAGTACTCTCATGCCAAGCAAGAACCCTGTTATGTATTAGTTATACTTAGTCATATTATTCAAAAATTTGATGTCAAGTGTAATGTAGGTAGATCACTTTATCATATTAGGTTCTGTAATTCAGTCTTGCTACTTTCCACAATATATAGTATCAATTGTATATAGTTTTATTGTATACTACATTTTGAAAATCATACAATATCATTTACCTTTCAATGTTTCCTCAACAATCTCAACGATTCTATCTATCTGATGTACTCCGACCACACTGAGCCCTGCGAGATATCCTGAGCGAGGAGCTCCCTGCGGCACACATCCAGCTAACACCAGATGAATACCACGCTGTTGGGCCAGTTCAATCTCATTCCTGAAGAAAAGTTAGTTTTATCAGTTTCATCATCATCATTAGCCTATCAGAGCCCACTGCTGAGCAAAGGCCTCTTTCTCACATGGAGAAGGTTTGAGCATTAATCACCACGCTTGCTTAAGACGGGTTGGTGATTTCAAACTTATAATTTTTGAAACTATAACTCCAGGTTTCCTCACAATGTTTTCCTTCACCAGTTTAATACTGTTGAAGTATATAAGAAAAAAAACAGATATTTATTAAGTTTTTCACACATGGTTTTTGGATTATTGAAAGTCTGTCTGTTTATTTGAAATTAGCTTTAAAATTTGAATTATTGAAACAATGTTAAAAAATTATATATTCATCTAGAAAATACAAATTAATATTAAGATTATGACACATAAATAAAGGTAATATATTTGGATTTACTACATGATTTTTATTATTTTAACTACATACCAATGTTTCAGATACTTTGCAGCAACCATAACCACATACAACATGAAAATGTCGGACATTTTCATAAGAAACACATAATAAATACGAAAATATAAGTTTTATTTAAATTTTAAACAGTTTTGTTTCTTTATAAACATAATACAATAATTATGATATTATAGGAATGTTTAACATCATTCTTCCTTTTTAATACTGCAGCCTATATAGTGAAACACTAGAATATATCCGTACACTTACTTAAAGTGATCTTCAGCAGGACTTTTCACTGTACAGGAGTTCAGTAGCCATAGCTGAGCAGAAAACTTGTCGTCTGTCAGTTTGTAACCATGAGCAGCCAACAGACCCGCCATATACTCTGAGTCGGAGTTGTTGTGTGCACAGCCCCATGTTTTCACGTATATTGTTTGAGTTCCTTCAATTAATTAAATTATTATTTTTTATTTTGGAGGCAAAAAAAATCCGTTATTTCATAATAAATAATGAGGTTGTGGGTTAATTAATATTACACAGATACTTTAAAATAGAACTTAGAAATAATACGGATATTTTTATTACATTTAAGTCTTCTAAGAGGTTACTAATAATAATAGGTTACCTGGTACTACACTCTCCAAAATAACCTTCTCCACACATTCCGTCTCCTTTTTTTCTTTCTTTTTTGATCGGACGCTCACACTTTTCCTACTGGCGTATCTTTCTTTCGGCGTGATATCCTGGGAAGATATTAAATCCTCAATATCATCAATAAACTCCGATACGGCACCTGGCATTTTCACGTTTGTCAATGTGACATTTGACAATTGACATCTCAGATCAAAACAAATAACGTTTAGAAAAATATCTTTTTCTAAATATGCTCTCAGCTAAATAATAAAATAGTAATAATTTTAATGGGTAATACAAATTAAAGTTTAACGGCATTTTGAAATGACTAATTTTACTTTTAAAAGTACCTGAATTCCAAACTAAATTGCAAATGGCTATTAATTGTATGAAAAAGGCAACAGAATCTTCAAAGGATTTAAAGGACAGAATCTTTCAGGAAATTGAATCTTTAAAAATAATTTATAAAATTTACGTTCAATTAGATTAAGCCGGCTTTATATTTTAGTTTTGCTATTTTTACAAAATATATACTTCTCCACTTTAGACTTTTTTCTGCAGACCCTATTCTTCTTATGTAGGTACCGGTTACAAGATTCATAACGAATATATTATAATGAATAAAGAAACGAATTGAAGGACATGGTACACAATGAGAGCAGTCACCCTTGTGATATACTAAGTGTTAACGGATGTATAAATTTCTTTCTATGGAAATAATTATCCTGCTTTACATATATTTAAAGGTCCGAGTTATATTTCCATATTCATATGAATCAACTACGCCTGGTGCAAGTCACTGTAATACCTCAATATATATCCTAAAAAACGATTTAAAAAGGATACGATATCAATTGACAAAAGGCTCATTACAATAGGACCCCAATAAAATAGTCGCTTCCGATAATAATACCGCAAATATATTATTCAAGACACAAACACATTGCGGTATAATTTTAAGTTTTATTGCAGGTGAATAAAGTCCAGTTTTATTTTTATAAAACGATTATTTTATAATGTTGACAATGGGTCGTACAGCTGCTTAGGAAAGATACCCTTGGCCTTACTGATCACCTTTGGCGCCTTTATCCTGTTATAACATTGCTTTTAGACGAGAGTAAACTTTATAAAGTCAAACATTGATTCTCGTATGAATTTGTATAAGATAAAATTTGAATTTATTATTTACCTTCTTAAAGATTTTCGATATAAATATTTAATTTGTCTTCAATATAAATTACCTCCTATTTATCACTTTATTCTATTGCTAAACTACGATTATAGCTTCATATATAACTTATCGGTAGTTATATTTTTAACGTATATAAAAACTATTTTAATCCTTTAAATTTCAAATGATTATAAAATCAAGTTGTATTGGTTAATAAAAAGTACGGTGACACTTATCTACTGCATTTTTTGCATGTTCTGTTGTGAAAAAATATAAGAATTTAAAATAATTTTTTAGCTTGAAATGACAAGTCACTTCATGTAAAAGCAAAAGTTTTTCCCTCCAATTTTATGATTCTTTCACTTGTCATTTATGCTTCAGTATCGCGCCAGTCGTCATCCATTAAAGGTGTGTGTTTAGTGGTGGAATTGCCGATAGAATTTTGTGTTCGTTGTTGTGAATTTTACTGTTATTTTAAATGCATTGCTTAAATGTAACATCGGTAAGTTTAATAACGATTTGTTTATTTAATGCAATAATTTATAATATAAGTTAATTCTACGAAATACCCGCCTTAATTCTTGTAGTTTGAATTTTATATCAAATACGAACACACTAAAATTTCTTAAGTTGTTATAAGGGCCAAAACATTGAAATATATTTTCAAAGAGTTGGTGGTATTAAATAGTTATTAAGATGTAAAATTATTAAGATTTAAAATAAAAATGATATTCTTGTAACTTAGCGAAAATTAAATAGTTTTTCAAACAAAGATGCCACTATTAATTTGTATTTTTCGACCTAGTATGAATATAAACATTTAAGAGTTTTTCAAACTGGTTTTAGGACTTCCAGTATGTATTATGTTTTTTATTATGTAGATATAACGTATTAGTATATATTTTTTGTAAACAAGTCCGTTACACTCCGTCTGTCAGGGTATCCTCGCTCCAGGGGTGGGTCAGGATGGCACGCGTCAACCACCTGCCTAAATATTATCCAAATTATAAACAACAACAGCCTACAATATAGTTACGTTTTGTTCTTGATATAACTTCATCGAAGATATTTTGAAGGGCTTAAATTAATAGTAAGATTATATATAGTAATTTTATGAAATTAAGTGGTTCTGGTACCTGTTATTCATAATTTTATATAAAACAATAGTTTTTAAAATTAGTAAGAAACCAAACACTGTCAGTTTGTTGTTTTTTCTTTCATACATCACAAAAGCATATTATGCAACTTTATACATCACAACACTATATGAGTGTTCTTTCCTAAAACATTTTTCCAGTTATATTGCTTTCTAGTACACAATTTTTCATATCACTGTCGTATAGCAATAGTAAGCAACAAATAAACACACAAATACTTATTTATCCTTCATATATTGTTCTCCATGGAGGTTCCATTTTTTGTACAGAAGTAATAGAACCTCCTTTTATTTTTCATATATATATATATAAAGCCTAAAATGTATGTATGCAAAACACTTGCAATGTTTAAATTATATTTTAAAAAACAATCTATGTTAAAATTGACGACATAACTATCTTTAGTTACTTAACGTGTTTTTTTCTTAAAAAGTTTTGATTAATATAAGATCTCTTTGTCTCTGATTAATTTTAATTGTAGATTTCAAAAAATGTTTTTCTTATTTGTGCAAAATGACGTCATTGAGATTTAGTTTTGTTTACATACTAGCTGTTTCTTATTCCTAACTCCTCTATATCGAACGAAATAGTGATTTAATTCTGATCTTACGAAAAAGAATTATGGATATATGTTAACTCAATGAATGTTCCTCATATAGACATCAACTATAGGTACATTAAATATTCTTGTTATGGTTTTATCTGTACAAAAATATTTCTATAAATTATATTTTAATGCACTGTAGTTATTGCTTAAGCATTTAAAATAATGAGTATCAAGTATAAAGATTATTTTACCATCAGTTTTTAACGTCTAACTACAACTATAAAGTTTCTTATCCACAAAACGTAACCATCAATGATAACTAATTACGACCAATAAACTTGTAACTCTCACTATGTAGTTAACCGTATCAAACATATAGTAAGAGTACGTTTTTGAGTGTGCCATGACTCGTTGATAACAATTAAGTATCTGTTAGTGGTCACAATCATGAGAGTGGTGTCACTGGTAATCTGATAAGTCGATGTTCGTCCGCAGACTTCGATTCAGGTCGGCAGATGATGATAACTTTTGACCCTTGATATGTATTTATAGAAGACATCACTGAGAATTGTTAATATCGCATATATTTTTGTTAAATTAATTAATATAATGAGATCTAAGATTTTTAGTGTTCATTTAAATGAAACTTATATTTTTCGGATTATACTACGTGTATTTTATTCTTGTAAAAACTACATTCTAACGATTTTTCGTTTACTTTTCAGCAACCGCGATCATGGACAGATAGATGTTAATTTAATTTAATTAAAAATTAAACCATGTTGTGTCTATTTTTCTGGATAACTTCGTACAGCATCTTATAATTCCTAATCTGTATTTTAATTTATTTTTTTTCACACAAATATGTATATTTTAAACTATTGAAAAAAATCCATACAGGAGATAATTCATTTACACACATTATTCGATTTCGTAATTCTAAGTAACTTGTAAAAAGCTACATCAGGGCTGGCAATCAAATAAATTTGAGTAAAAAAAAATGTATTGGAAAACCATTCCATTACTGTATATAATTATTTATAAACAAAGCATACTCATATCAAATTTTCCTTAGACCTTAATCGTTCTTTATTTGGTATCACGAAGACCGCATCAATTGGTGTTCCGGAGACCAGATCTAATAATACAATCCTTGATGATTGGATCGCCTTGATGGTACAGTTAAACTATTATAACAACATAAATATCACACTAAAAACAGTTCTGTTCTAATACTTAGTACATTTTGAACCTAAGTTTATTATCAGACGTGTCAATTTATAGATAAGCGTGCCTTTAAATGGGTTTGGAATTGATGTATGGAAACTAAAACAGTATTATGTGTTTTACTATCATTATATATAAGTACATATATATAAGAAAGTCGTGTTAGTTACACTATTTATAACTCTAGAACGGCTGTAAGGATATGGTTGAAAATTGGTTGAGAGATAACTTAGAACAATTCTGTTCGATCGAAAAATAAAAAAAAACTTTATAAATTTCAATATCTGCTTATTTCCGACTTCTAGGGTGGATAGAAGTCGCCTGGTCAGCTATACATGTATTACTAATTCCGAAATTAAGTCAGACGAAGTCGCGGGCAGAAACAAGTATACATATATATCATATTACATAAGTTGAGAGTATTGTCAGAAAACATTACATCATTCATGTCATAACTCTAATTAGTGCTCGGGATAGATGACCCAGATCTAATAATTACAACGCTCTCGTTAATTGCATGTTATATTTAAAAGTATACATTTTAAACGTTGGATTTATCTATTACTAAGGTTCACTGTTTGGAATAATTAACATAATTATTAGTGTATTTTTGGAGAATAAATACGGTAAATATATAACATATATACGGGTGACTGGTGAATTACTATCGATATTTGAGGACGTGATATTTGACGATCATATATGACAGAATAAAAATTAATATAACATAAATATTAATAAACTTCTAAGTAAAGTTAACCAAAAGTTATGTAATTAATTACGCATCGTATGAACACCCTACAGATTAGGTATACACACACACTCACACAGACGCGGCGGCGGCGTAGTGTTGTATCAGCACGCCGCCGCACACGTCCACACTTGGAACACTTGGAACGTATACACACTTTATTTATTTATACGGAAATTTGGTCAAAAATTAAGTACCTATTTTTTTTACATAATTCGAATGAGAATCATGTACCGAGTATGCTCCTTAAATATTAATAGTAATTCACCAGTCACCCTGTATATAATATATCGATCTTTTGTTACTAAGAAAGT